TTTTTTTTTGTCGTTCTGCCCCTCCTCCTCCTATTGCCAGGCCGAACACGCGTTTCCGAAACTTTTTGGTGTATGCGGTGAGTGGGCGACTTTTTCTTGCACGCGTCGCGTGCCTACGGGTCAGTCAGTCTTTCTCACTTCTGCCTGCTTGTGAATTGCTGGAAACGTCGCTGTGGTGGCATTTTGCAGTGTTGCGGCGGAGACCTCTCAGAGCAGAGCGAGTGGTGTTGTGTGAGCGCCTCCAGAAAAAAAAAGCGACTACCGTCTTTCTTTCTCCCTCTTGCATCTCAACCGTCGATGCTGAACCGGCAGCGCAATTGCGGAAACACAAGCTTTGGCGTTGGGAGAAGTTGACGTTCGAGAAAAAGGGGAAACAAACTCCTCTGGAACAGGGATAAGCTTTCGTGTTGGGGAAACAAACTCCTCTGGAACAGGGGTATACTGTATCTTATATACGTATATAATACATATATAGACATATATGTATGTATGTATATATGGTACTTGCTCGGCTTGCTTTGTGACATCCGAGTTGTGTTATGAAGATCTTCCCCTCCCTTTGCCTCCTCTCGGGTCCGACAGGAACAGATCGACGGAGCAGATCCCTAGGTTTGAAGGGGGGGGGGGGGCTTTGATGTGAATTGAAGCGAAGAATACGGCCAAATTCATTTCACTGAGATACAGTATTATATCGAGTACCTCCAATAGGATTTGTAGTCCAGGAGTCTATACACGCGGGAGTCCGTTTTTTGCTAACGTACACGCGGAAAGTGGGCTTCTCCCCAGATAAGCTCTGCTGCTGTAGTGGGGTCTGGAAGTTATCCTCAGTCTGACGTCGGGGGCGGGGGGGGGGCGGCGGGGAGGGAAGTGAAGTGGGGGAGTAGGTTTGATGAGACAAAAGGTGGGGTGGAGTAGGACAAGAATGCGTATGAAGAAAGGGGGAAGGGGGGCAGCAAGACATAAATAAGGAAGGTTAGCGAGAGGAGCGCGAGGAAGGGGGGGGGGGGGGGGGGGGGGGGGGGGGGGGGGGGGGGGGGGGGGGGGGGGGGGGGGGGGGGGGGGGGGGAGGGCAAAGAGGGGAGGGGAGGCTGCTTTGCTTCATATTTCTACGAGATGAAGTGATGGTTTCGGGGGCTTTTTGGCAAAAGAGAAAGGGAGAAAGAGGAGTTCGGCTGAAATTTACATCCTCTTCATCTGTATGATCAACGGCTGTAATTGACTTAGTGCGGTAAAGGTGGGATTGTGATCGGCTTATGTTATGTGAAGAAATGTGCTCCGGCGCGCAGTACGCGGAGACACGTGGCCAGTACCAGAGTGCGAGGAGGACGGAGTGGTGGCCGCCGCCCAATGGGGGATGGGCGACGTTGAGCAAGCTGAGCGGTGTCGGGATCGAGCGTGGGATGGCTAACAAGGGCGACAACGGGTCGAGCGGTTGGGCGTGCCACGTGTCAAGTGCTGGTCCAGAGATGGAAAGCTCTGGGGCCGGACGCGGAGGATCGCTTCAGCCCATGTCGGATCATCATCTGTCGACGTCGGTGGCACCGACGCCGATGTCGGAATGGTGGAGGGTCGGGATTCACCGAGCTTTTCCCCAGGCCGAGGCTGGTCCCGCTCTTGGCCACGACCATGCCTCTTCTTCTTCTTCGTCGTCGTCGTCGTCTTCTTCTTCTTCTTCTTCTTCTTCTTGTCCGAAACGGGTTGGGGTCGATGAACTGGTACTTCCTGCACCGTATCCTCAGGGTTGGGTGCAGGATCGGGATCGGGATCGGGATAGGCATGATCAGCCGCGTAGAGTTGGGGATCAGAATACGCATCCCGATCTGCCTCGTCAGGATCGGGATCGGAACACCGGGTCGCCTATCGTCAAAGATCGGGTGGCGGCAGACGAGATCGACACCGTGGGCCAATTCCGTCGGTATGGGGATGAGGCAAAGAGAACTAACCGAAGCTGGTGGTGCGAGGGGGGAGGGAGGAGGGGCTTGAAGCCTGATGATGGTTTCGGGGCATGGAATGCTGGTACCAGCATGAGCGATTGTGGGCAACAGCAGCAGCAGGAAGACGACCAACCCGAAGTTACTGTAGTAGTCCTTGACGACTGGAGGCTAGAAAGGAGGAGGAAGAGGAGGAGGAGGAGCGATTGGTGTTGGGAGGGAGGGGACTGGGAACGTGAAGATGCTGTTCAGAAGGTCAGAGAGAGAGCGAGGAGAGTGGGAGAAGAAGAAGAGCTGGTCGGCGGTTATAGAGAAGATGCCGATGGGCAAAAAAGAGTGGAGGAAAGGGGGGAAGAAATCATGGCAGGTGGTGTGCGTCGGCGCTCAACTGCCTCTCGCTTGCGCGAACCGTTCGATCGTGGTAATGACCATGGTGGTCTGTCTCCCCGACCCCTTGCAGACCTCAATCGCGCTGCCGACGGTCGCAATCCGGACATGAACTTGTCGTTAAGTGGCGATTTGGCACGATGTGGGACACGTGGCAGTTCGCGGGACGACGATGGCGTAGCAGAAATGCCTCGCAGTGACAATTGGCGGGAAACCAGAGATTACAGTGTTCGTTCCCGCGCTTTCTTCACGTCCAGCCTCCCGCCAACTGCTGGCGTTCTGTCTCCTCCTTGCCCTCCTTCGCGGGGAAAGGCGATCAGGGAGGCGACGGGACTCAAAAAAAATGTCACCTTCGCAAATGAAGACCAGGAAAAGATGGCTGGAGAGGAGGAGAGGAAGGAGGAGGAGGAGGAGGAGGAGGAGGGTAGATCGAAGGAGTGGAGGGACAACGACGAAGGGCGGCGGCTCAGGATGGATCCCGCCCGGGGCAAAAGCCTCTTGACAGATGGGAGGGAGAGAGAAAGAATGACGGTGAAGGAGAGGAAGAGGAGGAGAGGTCGGACGGACGCGATCCGCCAGTTGTCGATGTCGAACCGGGGAGGGGGGAAACTTAGGGGGAGGGGAGAGAGGNGGGGGAGGGGAGAGAGGAGGAGGGGGGGGGGGGGGAGACCTGCGATGACAGAGCGTCAATGCTCTCATTTTTGCTTTTTGACCGAGGCTGCCAGGTCTGGTAGCCGACCCAATGCCTCCGCAGACGGATCGGGATCCGGATGGCCAGCATCCGCTGTTGGATCCTGGCCCATCTCACGCTGCACACCACGTGGCGATGATGGGAGTGTGCAGGTGATGAAGTCGGTAAGGTCGGCGTACTCTGCCACGTGTCAATCGGCTGGTGCCGCGGCGGAGCGCCGGCGTGGAGACGTGACTGCTCTCGAGGAAGGAGGTGGTACGACTGGGTGCAGATACAGGAGCGGGACGATGCACCGCACGTGCAAGGAGGAGGTGGAGGAAGACAAGGAGGAGGAGGGAGGGGGGGAGGGGGTGGTTGAGGAGGAGGAGGAGGAGGAAGAGGAGGAGGTTTGTGTGTCAAGCAGGCGATGCTGTCCGCCTGCGGAGTCGTCGAATCGGGATCGTGAGCCGGAAAGGTGTGAGGACAAGGAAGGGAGAAAGGCAGGAGACGATGAGAGAGGAAGAGGGACGAGAATACGACAAAAGACAGGAGGGAGGGGAGGATGTTGCGATGGAAAGAGAGGTGGAGGAGGAGAAGGAGGAGGAGGCGGTGAGATTGCAAAACTGGGGCTTTTGGGCATATGCAGCCGGGGGGGGGGAGGGGCAAAGGGGAACGAGAAAGTGATGAAGAGAGTGAGGAGGAGGACAAGAAGAGGAAAGAGGAAGAAACGAGGGAGGAGACGAAAGGCGCTGCCCAGCGATCCTCTGCCACCAAGTCTTTTGGACAAGGCGGGGGGTAATGTGAAGAAGAGAGACCACGTGTCTTCTTCTTTCCCTGTTGCGGATCACGTGGGACAAGTGACAAGCAGCCGTGTCTGGTGTTTATATGCTGACGTGGAGCGCTCGACGATATCCGGTGAGTCTGTGCCAAGAGGGCAAGAAGGAGGAAGAGGACACACTTGCCCGCCGTGTTCAAGAGAGGAGGAGGGGAGGAAAAGACCACCACAACTACGCGATAACTGGATGCAGGCCATTGGCTTCATGTGCAGCAACAACAACCATCTTCACTCGACCCAACAACAACATAACGGTCCCCAGCGTAACGGTGACCAGCATAACGGTCAGGAGTCTGAAAGCCTTCGACTCATCGATCAGGAAGACGGTGAAACGCATGGATCCCGAAGTCGCCATTGCTTAGTCGTCGTTGGTCGACGCAATGACGATGTGATTCACCTGAACCGTGAAAGTATGGGGGGGTTTATCTACGACACTGACAAAGGTCAAGACGGCTGCGAAAGCGCTCGGTGGGGGGAGAAGAGGTATTGCAGCAGTGACCGATCGGGGGGGGGGATCCCAACGGGTGGGGCCGGGATCCCAATGGGTGGGGCCGTGGACTTGGCGTTCTCGGAGTTGCCGAGACAGGACTGCGAAAGGCACAATAACTGGACGTCGGGATCCCGTTGTTGTCTTCCTGGGGGCCCCGAGACTGCAGTGCAGACTAATAACGAGGATCGTGATCGCCGGGATCGGAAGATGATCATCATCGCGCCGCCGGACGTTGTGGACACGTCGGAGGACAACCGACGGAACTGGCAAGGTCTACATGGCGATTACCAACGTCATTATCATCATCATCAGCAGCAGCAGCATCATCGTCATCGTCATCGTCATCCTTCTGGTGATCAACAACACTATCATCGTGAACATCATGGATATCATCGTGATCAGCATCCTTTTAATCGTCGCCGTCAGGCCATTTATCATCATGATAACATTGGAAAGCACGTTGTTCATCATCATCATTATGATGGCACGGCCAGTCAGGCCATTCATCATGATGGCGCTGGTAATCAGTCCAGCCACAATGATGGGAATGGCAAACGGGCCCATCATCCAGATCGCATCTGGGGGAAAGAACCGACGGCGGGAGCAGAAGGCTGCGGCAAGCGGGCAGATCTGGGGGGGAACACGGCGGCGGCGAGACGTTGCTCCTGGTCGGATATACGGCTAATGGAGGAGCTGGGACATAGCGACGGAAGGGGAGGAGAAGGAAGGGGAGAGGGAGAGGGAGAGGGAGAGGGAGGACGCGTTGGGATCCTTTGCGATGACCGGCACGAAGCGGCGGATTCACGAGCCACTACTCTACTCTCGGCTTGCACAGGTGGCGCCCTGGAACATCACGGCAGCAGCTTGCGGGAACATCGTCCTCGACAAGCAGTCGATGAGAGTCCGGATCTCGACTCGGGTGGATCTGGGCGCTGGAGACGAAGGCGCTATGATGCGCAAACGACAGCTTCTGGCGAGCAAGTTTGCCAGCAGCAGCTCGCACGCTGTCGGGATCCCGACTCTGGGTCTGGCAACTCCGCCTCGCTGATGTTCACCGGCGGAGGTGGCCGACGTGTCAGTCGTGTGTACAAACTTTCCCACGGCCCCGCTGGTACTGACACGTCAGAGGCTCATCAAACCATCGCTGGCATGATGGACTCGTCGATGGGGACTGCGGTTACTACTACGAGCAGCAGTCCTGCGGCGGAAAGCCTTAATCAGGGCTTCCGACTCGGTCCTGATTGGATTTCTCACGGCCAAGGAAAGAAAGACAATTGGACTGTTGCACTGCCAGCTGATGTCAAACACAACGAATCGGATTCGATTAAGAGATTCCGTAGTGAGGTTGCAGCCGTCGATTACGATGCGATTAGGGGCTTGCACGATGAGTCTATCTGCTGTGTCGATCGATGCGATTTGTCCGAATGGGAGAAGAAGAGAGTAGGGACCCCGGTGAGGGGCGACGATGGCATTGAGGTTGAAGAGGTCGGCATTCAACAACATCAACTCCCATGTCTGATGCCTGCTGATTCTGGCCCAATCAACGCCCTCAGTTCTGCCACGTGTCCAGACGGAAAAGTGGTCAATCGTACGACCTCGACCGGTTGCAGAGTCGAGGATTACGAGGAGCTCGTCGAGCTACCGGTAGCAGGAGCATCGGATGGCGGCGGCTTGTTGGCAAAAGCAGGAGCGGCAGTCCCGACTGCCGTCGAAGCTGCTCGAGATTCACTCTGGTTACCTTCTGCCGGTATCCCGGCTGGGATCGGGACGAATATTCCCGTGAATAACAACGATAATCATGTCCTGGCAAGGGGGTGGAATAACGGGGTGCGCGCTCTTTCTGCGGCGGCTGTGCACTGTCACGCCGCCGTTGCCGCCGAGCCCTGCCGACTGCAGACGAAGGCGATTCAAGATCCCGACTGTCACAGAAGAGATCGTTCTCTGTCAAAAGATGCTGCTACTGCGAATTCCCACCTGATCCCGATCGGAGTTGGGAAAAAACAGAAAATGCACAAGGGAGGAGGAGGAGGAGGAGGAGGAGGAGAAGAAGGTGGCAGTGGTGGTGTAATGGTTAGCAAGAAGCGGCGGAAGACCGCCGGGCCTTTCAGCCGCTTCTTGCCGTCGTCTGTCAAAGATCCTTTCGACAATTGTATCCGTAGGAAAGGGGGCGGTGTGGTGGTCCATGATAGGTCGGGACAGTTGACCGTCGCGGCGGCATTTGTTTGCCCTCGCGGGACTGGTTCCGCCGGCGAAGGTGCGGGTGAAAGCCGAGCAGCGGCGGAGCGGATGAGCGGAAGACCGGCGGAGGAGCGGCGGCGGAATAGCGGAAGATGGGCCGAGCAGCGGAGGAGTCGCGGAGCGCATGAGCGGTCGACCGGAATAGCGGGGGGGCCACCGAACGAACGAGCGGAAGAGCGGGGGAAGAGTGGTCGGAAAGCGGATAAGCGGGGAAAGCGTTGTCGGAACTCCGGAGAGCGGCGGCGGAACAGCGGAGATTCTGAAGAAGAAGACGAGTCAGATGGCAAAGCAAGCGGAGCGTGTGTCGTGGATCCGCCGGGCGGGGGTGTACATGGAGCCCTCGAGCGTGGGCAAGAGCGGCTGGAGGAGGAGGAGGAGGAGGGAACCAGCGAGAGGAGAGAATGGAAGAGAGCCTGCATCGAAGGACGCCGGCACACAAACCTTAGCGTTGTTAGTAAGTCAGACCGCGGCAGCGGAGTGTGCAAGGATGACGATCTGCAAACAGTTTGTCCGCAAACAGAGTCGCAAAATATTCTTCTCGATCGGTCGAACCAGGGATCCAGCTCAAGGCCAATGGGCAAAAGAGTGAACGACGCGGAGGGCGAGAAGACTGTTTGTAGGAGGGGAGCTTCGACTTCGGTTAAGTACCCTGAAACAGGCAACAGCAGAGGGAACTTCATCGGACGGCACAGCGCAGATCTGCACGAAGGACGTGCTTGGATGCTAGACCCACCGAGAGGACATGCACCCGTCCACGTGCACTGCACATTAGAGAGAGGACAACCTGGACAAGTGAAAGAGATGACGGAGGGAGAGGAGAGACAAGACCAATACGACGAAAAAGACGACGACGACGACGACGACGACGACGAAGAAGAAGAAGAAGAAGGTGATCGAAATGGAGCTGACCCGACGAGAGCGGGTGCATCCATACACGTGCATTGCACTTTAGAGAGAGGAGTAGTGAAAGAAACGGCGCGGGGAGAGGACAGACCAGAACAAGACGACAAAGAAGAAGACAAAGAAAAAGCAAGAGAAGGAGAAGGCGAAGGTGATGGAAGTGGAGATCCGTTCTTGTACGATCGTGCACCGGTACACGTGCATTGCACTTTAGAGAGAGGCCGAGTAAACAAAACGGCGTGGAGAAAGGAGAGACGAGAAGAAGAAGAAGAAGAAGAAGACGAAAAAGAAGAAGACAAAGAGAAAGAAGGAGAAGGAGAAGGAGAAGAGAATAGAAGTGGAGATCCGTTTTTGTGCGATCGAGCAAACGACGGTACGAGTCAGTTGAGCGAAAGATCTGTTCCCTCTGTTCCCCGTGGAAGAGGGCTTTCGGAGACTACTCAGCGTCAATCGTCAATCTTTAGGACAGGCGTTATTCGTCAAAGGAGGTTGTGGATCGATCTGAACCGTCCAAGTTTGGACCAGGAAGATGAAGTTTTTCAAGGCTTGACTTTGCGGGACGATGTCCAAGCTGTGTTGAGTAATACGAGGAAGGACACGGTGATGCAAGCGGCTATGGCGGTCGGCGATCATAGGATGTCGGCAACAAGTTCTGCGCAAGTGCGCCAGGAACCCCCCGAGTTCCGTCCAAGATCATTTCTTGTTGACGTTTCGGATCCCTTGTCGCATGAACAGGAAGTCCCGTGCGAGAAGTACTCCTATGGCGCAGGGTGTCCTACTGGACCACCGGATGGTGTTGACGTCAACTTAATGATGCCGAGCAACTCCGGTCATTGCGTAGTACCTGTTGGGAATTCGAAGGGTCAGATGGTGACAGGTGAGCTGGAGGGTTCTCCTCAGGTGGTAACAGGTCAACTGGCGGAAGATCGATCGAGCCGCAGGGGAGGCTGGCTTGAGGAAGAAGGCGACTGCAGCTGCTTGGCATTAGCAGGCACCCACAAGGGCGACTTGCCACCCTGCCCCACGTGCTCTTCTCCCATGAGGATTATCCCCGCAGGGCGAAATCTGTCTGTTAGGGCTGTGCCTGAGCTGGGATTGGACGGAGAATCGCAGTTGTTCGTTCCGCCCTCCGGGACTGTGAAAATCTCAAACGTGCGTGGGTTGATGGACGTGCTGCAACAGCCTTTGACTCCCTCGCTGCCTGGGACGAAGCAGCTGCGTAGTGATGCTCAAGAAGACGCCGGTATCTGTGCCGAGGGGGTGAAAGTCACACAATTCGCCGAAGAGGCAGTTCAGGGGCCGGATCTGGAATCTGTACTGTCAGGAACGTTCAGAGCAATTGCATTGCCAGCAGCAGGAGTAATTACACAAGAGGAAGACGCGGAATACGAAAGGGAGCAGGAGACGGGGATGGACAGGCAGAGGGGGAGCTTGGATGTGTTGCGAGAGAGGGTGGACAGGCGGTGGCGGCGGCTGCAACAGAGCACGGTGTCAGAAGAAAATGAAACCCCGAAAGAACGCGCTACGGTGGAGGGAAAAAGTGACTTTGGAAAAGACGATGGCGAGAACTGGTCGAGCGACTCGGAGGAGAAAGGGGCGGAGTATATTGAGGTGAACAGGAAGAGGCTGAGCTTGGATTTAGCGCGGGAGGAGATGGAGAGGAGACATCAGCAAGGTCCAGTGCCAGACGACAGCGAATCTCCGAAAGAACGGGCTATGGCGGAGGAGGAAGCTCAGAGTGATTCCGGTGAAGACGATTTCGAGGAGGGGTGCAGCGATTCGGAAGGGAGCTCTTGGTCTGCAATGGCAAGGATGAAGACTCGAGTAGTGAAAACTCATCGTAAAAAGAGGGCTGTGAAGGAGCTCTACCATGAAGCCCCCGTATTAGTTGCCTGTAGGAAAGGCAAGGAAGAAAGGAAGCAGCCAAGGACGCTACCTTATGCAAAGAGGACCCCAGGCCGAGAGGGAGTAATGGTCTCTAAGAATCCCCTGGAGAGTGGCACTGAGCGCCCTAAGGGTTTTATCCCCTGTGTGACAAAGGAGAAAGAGAATGAGAAAGGAAAAGATAAGCAGGGAGACCCGAAGCAAGGAAAAGAAAAGCAGGGATGCTTAAAGCCTGTCTCCTTTGCGAAGAAAAAAACAGGTCAAGAAGGACGGACGCAGCCCAGGAATCCTCTGGAGCAGAAGTGCGTGTCGACGATGCAATCTAATGACGGCCAAAAGCAGTCGCTGGCTGAGGCCAGCAGTCCATGGATGCGGTCCTCCTCCCCCAAACTTCCTGTGTCCCAGGCTGCGCAGCAGGCCTCCCACGGTCAGAGAAAAAGACCTCTGGTCCTGGGCACGGTAGGCACCGACAGCAATGAGAAAGACGGGCACGGTGATGGGGGTAAGAAGCTCAGAATGAATGCGAGCAAGGTGAAAGAGACCTCAGCGAAAGCTGGGGTTCAGAAAGATGCCGTTTTGCGGGTACGGAGCATCATAGACAAGGAGATTGAAGTTGCTGCCTGGACATTGGTTTCTGTCACCCAGGAAGTGCCCCCATCTGCCTTTCGATAAGTGAAAAGCGCACTCTTTTCGCGTTTAACTTCGGAATCCTGACTGTCACAATGTCCTTTGATAGAGGACATGTGATCCCTTTGCTAAGTTTGCTTCCTTTTACAGCATTCTTCTATTTCTGATGGTCAATGGGGTGTGATTCAAAGGTTACAGGAGTGGCAGGTGTGAAGCCTGAGCATTCGGAGCTCATGTACAAACTGAAAGAGCAGGAAGGGAGAGCTTCCTCCCAGTGCACTGGCAAGCTGCTTCCTCCCTTGCTGTTTCCCCACCTCATCGCCCTCCTCGTCATGGTTGCTGTCAGCATCATCGTTGCCGTCATTGCTCTTAGCATTTTTGCTGTTATCGCCTTCGGTTGGACGGAAGCTGGTGACCGACCTCGTTATGAAGGGCAGTGGTCTTTGCCTCTCGGTTTTCTTGCGAACAACGGCAGGCGACCTGTTCCAGTGGTTGCTGGAGCTTCTCGTCAGTGGCGGAAAGGAGAGAACTGCTTAGAATGGGCCCTCGTCGCAAGCTTGTTTGGCGTGGTGGTGAGTCCTCCACGTTCAAATGTCATCAGCAGGCAACCTGTTCCAGTGGTTGCTGTGGGCCGATGGGAGGGAGCTCTCGTCGGTGGGGGGAAGGAAATAACCTCTTAGAATGAGCCTTCTTTGCATAGTCATTTGGCATGGTGGCCATTCCTCGAAGTCTACCCAGTTTATATGCCGTGGCCTCCGTCTTCCTCATGAAAGGCTGCCCAGTCGAAGAAGATCTACGGAGAGTAAGCGACAGCGATGCTGTCTAGCAGCTGTCCTCTGAGGTACAACATCACAATTTCACTGTAAAGTTACCGTGGTACATGTTAGTGTAGGTAAGACTGTAGAGTACTATTCACTGTAGGACAACCAAACTGTACTTAGTTACGAGAGAAACTGAGTGGTTTCATTGCTGTCCAAGGCATGAAAACTTGGATGATTTTACCATACTGTAAGTACCCCCCTAGATTGGCACGAGTGTTGAGTGTTTATTCAGGGATAAGCGTGAGATGCAACAGCCCATTTATGCAGCTTTCATAGATGTGGACGTGTGCGCGTATGAGGCGTCATACACACAGGAGAGAGAGAGAGAGAGAGAGAGAGAGAGAGAGAGAGAGAGAGAGAGAGAGAGAGAGAGAGAGAGAGAGAGTTTACACACCAGTCACTAGTTCACTTGGTGCTGACTGGAAGTAGCAGGAACCACACGTCTATAGTCTTTGTTTCTTTGTTTCTTTTTTTCTTTTTTTGATACATCAATGGTCTTGTGGTCGCCAGATTTGTGATTTATGTCTGAGCTTGTTAGATTTTCATGTGGTGAGTGTATATAATTTACTATTTTTGAAAATAATTTTCATGATTTGAATCATCCCCCTTTTTTTTTCTGGATACTGCTGTGAAGGCTTCATCGAGTGCTCCATCTGTTCCCGAGCTTCACGTATGCCAGCACAGCATTTGCAAGGACTTTCTCATTGACAGAGGAAACTGCAGTGAAGCTTCATCGAGTGCTCCTTCGGTTTGGTGGAGGCAACATGTGTGCATGCTGCATGGTGCCTTTCCTGTAAGGAGGGACTCTGAAGTAGTTGGAAGGATGGTTCTACTCATCCATCCTTCCAGCGATTAATCTGCTGGGAAGCTGATTACCCTGAGGCTCAGGTTTGATGAATTGCTCACGACACTCCGCGTCTGTTGCCGAGGTTGTGCTCATCATTTATTTAATCCACCAGTTCACCGGACGCAGAGTACTGTAAACCGGTAAGAGCATTTCGATCCAGGTCTGGGCTGGCGCAGCTGGAGGCTCGCGAGACTTGGAAGGTAGCCTAATCAACTTACGCTCATGTTAACCGGTTGTTCAAACCCACCAGTACAGCGCTGCAGGTCTGGGCTGACGCAGTGGCAGGCTTGTGAGCCTTGGAAGGTAGGCAAATCAACTTAGGCTCATGTGAACTGGTGGCTTGAACTCACCAGTACATTGCTACAGGTCTGGATGGGCGCAAGTGCAGGCTTGTGAGCCTTGGAAGGTAGCGTAATCAGCTAAGCCTCATGTGAACCAGTCGTTTAAACCACCAGTATAGCGCTGCATTACCAGGGCCCGTGCCAGTTTGCGCAGAAGCTGCAGGTCGGTTCGCCATATCGGAGGAGGAAATATGCTGGTGGCCGCCAGCAGGCGTTTGATCCCGTCTTCACTGGACGGCTGGGCAAATGAGAGGCTGAGCGGTCCAATGAACGTTAACGTACTGGTGCAAATACTTGGGCGCACTCGAGCAAGAGCATCGATTAACATACTAGTCTTCTGTGGATGTACGGGCCTGTCTGTGCCTGAGTAAATTTAAATGCTCAGAGGCCCGCAGCGGACGAAGCGCAGGTTCCATGTCTGGGTGGTTTAAGTGGGAGATTGCGCACATCTCTTTTCGTGGAAATTTGGAAATTTCTGTTTTTGCGTGGGTTTTGCCGTTTTACAAATGCAGCAGTGTCCGATATATATATTCAGTGCAAGACAAACTGTAGATATGAATCACTGCCGAGCAGGTTATATATATCGTGTGATGGATTTGCTGCGATTATGTGAAGGAAGAGTAAGGGCGTCGTCGCACCGGGGAATTCCCGGGATGCATCTGATGGAGGTTATGGCGAACAGATTGATGCAAAAGGCCTCAGTGGGAGTATGGCGGAAGTTGTATATATTTCCGGACGGATTATGATTTTTTCGCCGATGGATGCTTCCAAGACGACACTCCATTGTCATTTCAACTTTTTGTCATGTTCTTGCCATGCTGTGTCCTATAGAATTTTTGTATTCAGTTTGGTTGGTAGATATATGTTGAATGTTTGTCGGTCTGCAACACAATGTCACACATTCCTCTTTTGTTTTTTTCCCTTTTGTCCTATCGTGTGGCCGTGATATCCAGGTGTCACTTGATCTGTGATCTGGTCTGGTCTGGTGTGGTCTGGTCTATTGTGGGGGGTTGTGATATCCATGTGTCACTTGATCGACGATCTGATCTGATCTGGTCTGGTCTGGTCTGATCAGATCTGCTTTATGTGCTGAGATTTTATGTGGTTCGCCCTTTCGCAGAATCTGATCAGTTATGCTGTGACTCGGGCATGGTAGGCGATTCATCCGCAAGATACATGGTGTACCGATTGCGGGTGGCATTGCCCAGTATCCAGTTGGCGTTAGTCGTTAGCTGTTTTGAGGGCAATTTTCAATCCAGATGCGGCAATAATGACTGTATGTTCTATCCAGGGGGAAGACGGTTAGCAAATTAGATAGCTTAGGGGTAGGCTTTGACAGTGGGTGTAAAGCTGCTAGGAATTTCTCAAATCTGGAGCACAACCCTTCGGTGAACTCCAGGTTTGGTGTGTGTATGTCTAGGACCCACCCACCATCTGTGTGTGTGGAGACGGTGACATCATCATCGCAGCCCATGCGCTCCCACAGCAGGCGTGTGTGGACAGGGTGAATTCATGGTGCTGCTGTAGGAATGGACTGTGGCCCCGAAGCAGACGTGGCCACACCATTGATGAGGTTGGTGGTACAACTGCTCATCTTCCATCATCATCAGCTATGGTGGTGCTGCTTTTTTTTTGGTTCTTTTTTTTGTCGCTTCTTTTGTTGCTGATGTGATCACATATCCACGACATTGACATTGTGCCAATGCCGACTGACGGGTTGGTTAATCTTGTGTTTTTTTCTTTTTTCGAATGAATGGATGGACACTGTGCCAATGCCGACCTCCGCGCCAGCTCAAGAGTTTATCAGGTGCGTTGTTTCCTCGCCTCACATCATCATTGCTTTGCTCCGTCGTTCGAGAACCCAAAAAAAAAAGTTTTGCTCCATCACCTGGAAGATGACCGGTATTCAGTTGGATCCAGCAAGTTAGGGTGTACTCACACTAGCTCTACCTTAAACCACAAGTACTTTTCCCAGCCATTTTTCTCTGATGCAGTCGTGCACTCACCGCAAGTTTTACGGTTTGGCCTACCAGAGCAAAAAGGGTGGAGGTGCCAGTCGAAAAAGGGCCCGCACCGGTTCGTCTTTTTCTGGCACCCAGGTCGGCAGAGGAAACCTCTAACTGGTGATTTAAAGTATCGGACGAATTCTGACCGGGCCAGTCCTGGAGGTATCTGACCGCAATTACGCCCGTATTACTCCGTAAATAGCTAGGAAGGCCCTAGTGTGGATCCACCACCACTCCACCAGACAGTCGTAAACCTGCTTTCCTGGCCTTATGGAAGATTTGAGATCATGTAGAAGAGGTCCTGATCCTTCCAGGAAAAATATCAGAAAAGAGGAAACAAAACATGCTTGTCGTGGCGATTCGGCGTGTGCTTTTTATGTTCCGGCTGCCGCATGTGGGCCAGGATGATTTTCCCTGGAGTAAAATGCATAAAAAACTCTGAAAATTGGTGGGCCCGAAGATTTGGTCATGATCTTTTGAGGAAACATTAATTAAAAAATGTTCAAAAAAAAAAAAGAAGGTTTTGCCAGGTTGTTGTAGAGGCTGGATGCTACGCATATGACAGTCCCTTCAGTGGTTGGCCATTTGATTATCCGGATGGTCTATGCAGGCCCCCTATTAGACTCCCTCCCACCCTTTACTCTCATCATTCTCATCAGTCCTCATCGCACCCCTACTCCCAAGATCCTACCTCAGTATGTAACCACCCAGGGTCATCACCCTCTTATCATCCGACGGGGGTGATCCGACAGGAGGGAATTATGGCCAAGCAGCTGCTCACCTCCACCGTCAGCCCTGATTGAAGCATAGTTGGACGAGCCCTGTTGTTCGGGTACTCCAACCGTGAGGCATAGGCATTCTAGTACAAGTCCCCATAGGTGAACCTATTCCTTGTTGGAGGGACTCTAGCCTCTGTCGTTCGTGAGTTCGCGCCCACTGTCGGCTCTTCCTCACCGCGGTCGTGAGCTAGACCCCTCCGATTATTGTGTTGAGCAGTCCTAGTCTCCGTCATCAGTTTACATACTAGGCCACCATCCGATCCTTACTTCCATCATGAACCAGGCCTACGAATATTCGGATCTTACCTCCTTATTGATACGGGTAGCGGACAATCCTCACCCCTTGAGACAGCCTCCACCGCAGGTTCCCCAACGATATCCTCCACTGGAGCCTATCCAACCCATAATATTATTCCTACCTAGTGGGATCGCTAAGGCATCCCTTACTGCAGGTCCCCACCAAGATCGTCCCGTGGAGTTTGTCCCACCTAGTGCCCTCCCCCAAGCGCCCTTTATCTCACCTGCGGCCCTTGCGCCCCCAAAGCAGAGCCCTAAGGTAACCAACTCTGTGTGATCAGTCACTCCACAGCCCTGTCTGCATCCCTGCTATTTTTGCACATCTGGCTCCATTTTTTTTTGGGGCTCGCACGCCAATTCCAGCCCTGGATAAAAGTGCCCCGCAACTACTCGTGGTTAAACATGACTGCTTTCCAGCATGATGCAATACACTGTCTGACCTTCATGCAATAGGAAAAGAAAAAGACAGAAATAGAGTACTACATTTCACTGCATATATGTAATTAAGACACATGTAAGGTGAGAAGGGCAAATTTTGGATTGGAGCTTGGTCTCTATCCTGACAGTAAAATGTTTTTTGTGTATTTGCTTTCATGGGCAATGGAAGGAAAATGGTCGATGATCTAAAAGGAAGGGAGATGGTTAATGATGGTGTTTATGTTTGCGTACCCTGTTATGTCCTGGCCAATTTCGAGATACACATTCATCAGATGGTACAATGTCGTCCAATTGCAGAAAGAAATGAATGGACTTGAGAGGAGAGAGAAGATTAGAAGAAGAAGAAGAAGAAGAAGAAGAAGAAGTAAGAAAGAAGAAGAAGATGATGTACACCAGCATAGACAAATGACAAAGCTCTTCTTCTTCGCCCAACTCTCTCTTCCTCTTTATCTCCTCCTCTCTTATTCACACAAGAAATAATAATGCAATGTTGAGTAGCTGAACCAGAATCAAAGTCCAAATCCATCTTCTACTGCTGGTATCACTTGAGGTCCACCATAGCCATGGCC